CCATTGACTGTCCCCCCAGCCTGGGCCTCAGAAGAGAGCTGGAGAACCAGTCTCCTGCCTGACCCGTTGGGAGTCTGGAGAGAAGTCTGCAGCTGAGTGCGATCTCCTGCACTATCTCAGCTATTCCAGACCCCACGTGTGGGTTTTTAGTCTGTCACAGGGTAGCCATCTCTTCTCACCCCTGTGGACAGTGGTGGTGCCTCCGCTCCTGTGCTCGGCCAGAGGAGACAGTCTGTGTAGCTCACCTCTCCTCCGAGGGGCCTCTCTTTGGTTGCCTCACAAACTCACCTTTCTCGTGGGCTGAACAAAAGTAATGATTTTGCAGTTTATCATTTTCTCATGGTAGGGCCGGATGGATGTGCTGAGCAGCATGCCATATCCTAAGAAGCATACCAGCATTTAAATTCCACCTTTATCCCATAGCAAATGTACACCTGAACCTGTATGAAGCTATTTTTATTCTTCCATAGGAATCATGCTGCTTTGATAAATCTCTTTCTAGCAGTGTAAATCACCCCTCAACCTCCCAAAAATTCTTCAGCCTTTTATTAAACTTCCCACGTGACCCTAGAATTATATTGTCTAGTTAAAAATACTTTCGACATTTTTTTTTAATATATTTTATTGATTTTTTACAGAGAGGAAGGGAGAGAGATAGAGAGTTAGAAACATCGACGAGAAACATCGACCAGCTGCCTCCTGCACATCCCCCACTAGGGATATGCCCGCAACCCAGGCACATGCCCTTGACCGGAATCGAACCCGGGACCCTCCAGTCCGCAGGCCGACGCTCTACCAAACCGGTTTCGGCTCGACATTTTTTTTATGCCCCGCCCCGGGTCAACAGACCACGTGACATCCGGAACTCCTCACTTTCGACATTTTTATTAGAATTGAACTGGCTGAATTATTGAGTTGTGCCATCCAATAATGTGGTATGCGCTACCACTTATTTAAATCTTCAATTTCCCCAGTAAAGTTTTAGTTTTATTTATATGGGTCCTATATACATTTCTTATGTCAAGTTTATTCCTAGATATTTTTTATATTTTCTTTATTTTAATGCCTTTAAAAAAAATTTTATTTGCTGATATTTGTTGTCTTAAGGATAAGCATTGATTTTTATATAGTGATTTTGTACCCAACTGCTTTATTGAACTCTCCTTACTTCTAATAATTTTTCAGTTTATTTTCCTGAGTTCCTTGGTAGACAAGTATATACAAGTAATACTTTGTCTCCTCCTTGCCAAAGATTTTTCTCTTATTTCATTTTGACTTGCTGTGTTGACTAAACTTTCAGGAAATATTAAATGGCCATGGATAGTGGGCACACCTGCCCTTACCTGACTTTGGTAGAAAACACCAGAGCTTTACCGTTAAGTATGAGGATACCTGAGGCAGGTACAATAAATTCTCTTACTCAACAGATACTCCAACCCCCTTTTCGTGTGAGAAAGGAAAAAAGCACTCGCAACTAGGCCACGCAGTCCTCCGTGCTGGACATACACGTCTCACAGAATGCCAGCTCGGACAAGGCCACTCTGAGGCCGTGAGTAAATGAGGTAAAGCGAGTCCATACCGTCCATAACTTTGTCTAAGCACAGACAAAAACAGAGTCACTGTGCCACCCACAAATACCAAACATCCCCCTCTTGGTTAAAACGAGGGACTAGTAATTCTTTACCAATTATGCCTTTTTTCTCACCCTAGCTTGCCCTCCCAATATATAAAATGTATTGAGATCACCACAGAATTCTCACTGCCACACACACTTTCCAGCAGCACCCAGCCTAGAGCAGCCCCTTGTTTTGCTGGACTGTCCACAAATCATCCAACCCAGCAGTTCTAACACCTCCTTGTTGAGGCAACATGGCTCCCCACGGTGTGTGTTCTCCACTCGACACAACAACCGGAACCTGTTCAGCTGCAGTTGTGTTCATGGTGGTCTCCGGCTGGAGGACACTGACAATAAAAAAATTGTTTTTAATTTTAAAAAGTTAACAAGATCAAGTGAATCAGAATCACTGGAACAAAACTGAGACTCTACATTAACGAGCAAGCACCCAGACTTCCTCTGCATACGAAAGTCTGAGAAACACTGAACTAGGGCTGTGGACAGAGCAGCTTCCTGTCAATGAAACAGGTATATCACTGACAGCCAGGAAGTGCTGAGCACTAATTTAATACTAACAATGTTCTGCTAACAAAAGGTAAATGAGCACCACCTACTGCCCCGCTTAGAATGCAATGCTGAGATTGCTTCAATTCCTCTCAGTAATTGAATTTACTCTGAAAAAAATGAATCAATCCTAAATAAGATATCCAACCTCTAGAAAGCATTGTTAGAATGGAACATGAAAACAGTATTAATACCTAGGAGAAAACTTTCTGAGTTAAGGGTTTTTGAAGTTTTATGTTAAATATATGTAATAAACTCCTGTAATTTCAAGTTACTACTAAAACAGTAAAGGAAAATATAATCCCTCATCCATTGGCCTATACCCGTGGTCAGCAAACTGCAGCTCTCGAGCCACATGCGGCTCTTTGGCCCCTTGAGTGTGGCTCTTCCTAAGCCTTAGGAGTACCCTAATTAAGTTAATAACAATGTACCTACCTATATAGTTTAAGTTTAAAAAATTTGGCTCTCGAGAACCAAGATGGCGGCATAGGTTAACGCCGGAGTTTGCTGCTTTGAACAACTACTTCAAAAGTGAAACCAAAAAACGGAAGGGACATCACCCAGAACCACAGGAACGCTGGCTGAGTGGAAGTCCTACAACTAGGAGGAAAGAGAAACGCATACGGACACTCAGAGGAGGCGCAGTGCTGAAGTCAAATTCTGAGGTGTGGAGTTCGCGGAGCGGGCTGGCGGCAGAGGGCGCGGTTGGCGTTTTCAATCGGGAGGGAGTCGCAGACTCTGAGCTCCAGATCCGGGCGAGTCTTTAGGGACCCAGACTCAAACGGAAGAAGCGGGACTGTCTGGCTTCGGTCAGAGCGAGTGCAGCTTTCTCTCCGAGGTCTGCAGTGGGTGCTGGGACTCAGAGAGGCAGAGCCCCTGGGGACAGGACTGAGAGCAGCCATAACTGCTCTCTCCGGCCCACCCTGTTGATCCTGTGTGACCCGCCCCGCCCAAGCCCTGCACACAGGCATTTGCCGGATAGCCTCAGGCAAACGCCAGATTAGCACCTCCCTAGAGGACAGAAGTTCTCTCACTGCTGACACAGCTGATTCTCATAGCCACTTGGCCTGGAGGTCAAACCCTCCCTGGAATTAGCTACAACAATCAAGATTTAACTATAAGACTTCGAACAAAGACCACTAGGGGGTGCACCAAGGAAGCATAACAAAATGCAGAGACAAAGAAACAGGACAAAATTGTCAATGGAAGATATAGAGTTCAGAACCACACTTTTAAGGTCTCTCAAGAACTGTTTAGAAGCCGCCGATAAACTTAATGAGATCTACAAGAAAACTAATGAGACCCTCGATCTTATATTGGGGAACCAACTAGAAATTAAGCATACACGGACTGAAATAACGAATATTATACAGACTCCCGACAGCAGACCAGAGGAGCGCAAGAATCAAGTCAATGATTTGAAATGCGAGGAAGCAAAAAACACCCAACCGGAAAAGCAAAATGAAAAAAGAATCCAAAAATGCGAGGATAGTGTAAGGAGCCTCTGGGACAGCTTCAAGCGCACCAACATCAGAATTATAGGGGTGCCAGAAGATGAGAGAGAGCAAGATATTGAAAACCTATTTGAAGAAATAATGACAGAAAACTTCCCCCACCTGGTGAAAGAAATGGACTTACAGGTCCAAGAAGCGCGGAGAACCCCAAACAAAAGGAATCCAAAGAGGACCACACCAAGACACATCATAATTAAAATGCCAAGAGCAAAAGATAAAGAGAGAATCTTAAAAACAGCAAGAGAAAGAAACTCAGTTACCTACAAGGGAATACCCATACGACTGTCAGCTGATTTCTCAACAGAAACTTTGCAGGCCAGAAGGGAGTGGCAAGAAATATTCAAAGTGATGAATACCAAGAACCTACAACCAAGATTACTTTATCCAGCAAAGCTATCATTCAGAACTGAAGGTCAGATAAAGAGCTTCACAGATAAGGAAAAGCTAAAGGAGTTCATCACCACCAAACCAGGATTATATGAAATGCTGAAAGGTATCCTCTAAGAAGAGGAAGAGGAAGAAAAAGGTAAAGATACAAATTATGAACAACAAATATGCATCTATCAACAAGTGAATCTAAGAATCAAGTGAATAAATAATCTGATGAGCAGAATGAACTGTTGATTATAATAGAATCAGGGACATAGAAAGGGAATGGACTGACTATTCCTGGGGGGGGAAAGGGGTGTGGGAGATGCGGGAAGAGACTGGACAAAAATCGTGCACCTATGGATGAGGACAGTGGGTGGGGAGTGAGGGCAGAGGGTGGGGCGGGAACTGGGAGGAGGGGAGTTATGGGGGGAAAAAAAAGAGGAACAAATGTAATAATCTGAACAATAAAGATTTAATTAAAAAAAAAAAATTGGCTCTCAAAAGAAATTTCAATCGTTGTACTGTTGAGATTTGGCTCTGTTGACTAATGACTTTGCCGACCACTGGCCTATACCAACAGTGAAAGGAAAAACAGAACCAGAGGATGCCCTAAAATACTGCAATAAAACAACATGCAGGTATGCTCAGCTCCACACTCCCTCCATTCCCAAGGGAAAATGAGAGAAATAAGGATAAGCTTTCTTATCCTGTAATCTACTCATGTTCAGTATCAAACTTCCACCTGTAGGACACTAGTTGGAAAGTTAATATTCCCTTCAAAATGCCTAGTGAATTCCAGTCTGTTACTATGTCTAAGGCAGATTTCCCCTTCCAAGTTGCAAATGCATAAAATATATCCAGAGGCTCAAAGACAGGCAATCTCATACACAGACAAAAAGCAGTTGTACTTCGTATTTCAATAACGCAATGACAAGTCATAAAAAGCATCTGTCTTTAATCACTGTTTGTTTCCAGGAAATAAATGGCAAACTGTACACACTGTGGAGTCTGAATGCCGCCATCATAGAGTGTGAATGATGGTCCGGTTTCGAAGCTGCTGAATGTATTCTTTGGCGTGGGTGACCGCTGTCTTTGGTGGTTCAGGTAAAGGTGGAGGGCCTTCTACCAGCTTCACAAAATAATGGCAATAAACCTTCTCCATGATCCCAAAGCGACCTCTGCCATGGTATCGAATGCGTTTCAGGTACTGGCCTCGGCCTGAGGTGGACACAGCTAGACAGGGAAGAAAAAAGAGGATTACGGGAAATGACTGTGCTCACGAGACTCGAGCTTGATCAGTTGAGCAATTTCTGTCCTTTCCTTGACTGGATTCTAAGACTACATGAGCTTTCTGGCTGGCTAGAGCAGGCTTGTCTCAAAGCAAGTATCTCCTGAGCACTCACTAAGGACCAGGCTGTCTTCTAGGTGTTGGAGAAACAGAGTGGATGAGACTAGCAAGGACCCTGCCTCCATGCAGTGTACACTACAGAGGAGACAGAAAGTAAACATGCTCACTTCCGTTAGTGACAGGTGCTATGAGCAAAATAAAACTGATGGGGTGCTGGGGGCAACTTTAGATAAGGGGGTGTCAAGGGGAACCCTTGAAGAAGAAACATTTGATCTAAGATCAGAATGAATCATCCAGGCAAATGTCTATGGGTGAAGTGTTCCAGGCAGAGGGAACAGCACGTGCAAAGGCCCAGTCGTGGCACTGGGTTTGGGCTGTTTTAGGAACAGAGAGACCAGCCTGTTGGAGCACAGTAAGTAAGGTGACAAGTGGTACAAACAAGGGAAAGAGATCAGATGAAGGCAACATTACATACAGCCCTGTAGATTGAGGTAAGGAGTTTTTATTTTATTCTAATTGTGATGAAAGCCCCTGGAACCAACAGTTCCCAAATGCTGGTTCTTGGGCTAGCCAGATCAAACTAACCTACGGACTATATTTTAAATGCTAATGCTAAGACCCCACCCCTGGAGATTCTAATTTAGTACATTTGAGGTGGGCTTGGAAATCACATCCTGAGCAAACACTCCCACTCCCACAGGCCCCATTCTGATTTCCAGACAGTTTTAAGAACTCCTGCATTGCAGCTGCCCCTCAACTCCCATTTCCCACTCTGCATGGCAAAGTTTGACCTTGTAAAATTTGAAGAAAACTTTTAAATAGTCCATAAAAGGAAATCTGTTCACCCATAGTAAATCAGAGTAGTAACCACTTCCTACTATTTTCTGAATTTACTTAATTACTTTTTTTAGTTAACTTAATAAGCCTTTTAAGAAGGCAAAATCTATAGACTACATATAAAATTCACCCACTTCAGTACTTTCCATTTGCATATTCTTACTGTGACATAACTTTTTCGATACAGGGACTATATCAAAGTATGCACTTGACAACCCAGGTGCCTTTGCTTATGCAATTACCTCAGCTTGACAATCTTTTCTCATGAACACTCTTTCAAAAGCCTATCTTCAAAATCTAATTTTTCTAGAAAATCTCCATGACTATTCTAACCCATACTGACCTCCTCTTCTCTACTGCAATACATTTATCTGTATTACTCCTTTTGGTCCCAACCATATGCTATCTTGTGTAAGTGTTCACGTTTCCCCTGTAAAATCACTTCTTCAACCAAACTTCTATTCCTTTTGTAATGCCCCAGAAATTCATGCTGCACAAGAAATAGAAATGCTTTTATAATACATCCTCTGCTAACTAATATAATATTTCCACTACAGACATCTCTGATAAGTTTGCTCAAATTATAAAATAAGATTCAAAGTTTTCCAAGAACATATAATACTAACTGTACACAGTTTTGTTCCAGTTCAGAACAATCCATGTATCCTTCCAAAGTGCTACTACTGCATAAGAACAAAAGGACAGGCGCTAAAGGTTTCAAACTGCTACGTCCCATCACCAGTGTGTGTAGAGTGAACATGGAAGGTACTCGAATGCTTTTTGAATGAAAGAGAAAACATTAAGACATCTCAAAAATAGGGACAACCTTCTAAAGGTAATGTCCAATAGGTACCATGTAGTTAAAATAATGTCAATATTTCCAATCACTAGCATTTAGGTAATTGAGAACCTTGACATTTTAACATTAGAAACTCTCCCTTCCCCACTTCATCACTCTTAGCCCAGAAGACTGATTTACAAAGTCAGTCGATCACTTTCTCTAGTGAATCACTTTAGATGCCATGAATCATTAAGCAGTGACATTTTATTAGTCCATGTCCACTTGTTAAGGCTATTCACAGTGTCATTAGTCATCATTATAAGTTTGAAGGGGAAATGAACTTTCAAAGTCTGTGGTCATGCAACACCGGGTATTAGCTTTAGACGGATGTCAGGCATCTGAAGGAATTACTGTATAATGAGAACATATGCTACCCAAAAGCACTTCCTTTAAATACCTATCCTTGCCGAAACCGGTTTGGCTCAGTGGATAGAGCGTCAGCCTGCAGACTGAAAGGTCCCAGGTTCGATTCCGGTCAAGGGCATGTACCTAGATTGCGGGCACATACCCTGTAGGAGATGTGAAGGAGGCAGCTGATCGATGTTTCTAACTATCTCTCTCCCTTCCTCTCTGTAAAAAATCAATAAAATATATTAAAATAAATAAATAAATAAATAAATACCTATCCTTACCTATTCTAGGTGACTGCTGACAAGAAATGGTAGCCAACAAGTAGTTAGTCTTTCAAATCTTAAAAGAAGTCTATGGAATAAAATGTCTAAGCCTTTTCAAAAAATACAATAAAATCAATCAGTTTCCCACATTTTATCAGTAAGAGTCACTAGGGTACTTACCCAGGCCGCTCCCCTACGGTTTAGATCCAGTGAGTCTGTGGTGAGGCCTACAAATCTGTATTTCTACTAAGAACCTCGGGTGATTCTTACCGCGGGAATTTGGCAAATACGAGGACACAGTGCCTGATATGTCATGGTAAGATAGTTCATTCCTAATGGGATTAGGCAATAAAATACTTAACAAATGAGTTTTTTAAATCATAAAACAAATCCTGCCCTGGCCAGTGTTCCTGAGTGGTTAGAGCACTGGCCTGTGCACTGAAGAGTCTTGAGTTCGATTCCCAATCAAGGGCACATACCTGGGTTGCAGGTTCAATCCCTGGTCCTGGTCACACACAACACGTGCAGGAGCCAACCAATCAATGTGTCTCTCTCATATCGATGTATGTTTCTCTCTCTCTCTTTCTCTCTCTCTCTCTCTCTCTCTCTCTCTCTCTCTCTCTCTCTCTCCTCTCTCTCTCTCTCTCTCTCTCTCCTTCCCTTCCTCCCTTCCACTCTCTCTAAAAATCAATGGGAAAAATATCCTCGGGTAAAGATTAACAAAAAAATAAGAAAAGAAAATTATAAAACAAATCCAAACTACCAGCCCTAATTAAAAGTTTTTTACACAGAATTAGATGAAAAGAGGGTGCAGGTACGGCAGAGGTTTTTCAACAGAAATGTGCATAATGAGACCAATGAATTAAAGGCCCATTCACGTAGATGGATTATGTTTATTTTTGCTCAATGGCAACAATGGACTTTGCTCATTCATTTGGGGGGACAGGATTAAGCTCCTCACCCTATCTCTACTACAATTATTAAAATGGATTTAAAGACAAATTCTATTTCATTTGTATCTGAATTCCATTACAAAGTGTTGTCTATCAGCTAAGAAGCCCACACATTCCTATGAAATTGAATAACATTAATTAAATCTGATTTTATATTCAGCATAGCACAGGAAAGGTCACCAAGAGGTTTTAAGCAAATGGTCTTACTCTTCATCCATTTCACCTCTTCCAATAATTCTGAGCCCTCCCAGTATTATTTATTCATGCTGCTCCCAGAAGAAAATGCTTATGATTAACTACTGCAGCCCTGTATCTTCTGAGTTACCAGATTGATTTCCTTCTGCATCCATGCATGTTATCAGAATATATTTTAAAATTTCAGCTTTAAAATATTTCCATTGAGAATCTTAACTCATTTGAATTTTAGAAGTAGGTGTGGTTGCAGCATCAATTCCAGATGAGCTGACATGAGATTTCAACTGAACCAGAATAAGTATCTCCACTAGGACAAAGGTTATATGACAAAGAGGAATTCAGATGACTTTTCTTCTACTCTAATTGTTGAAAAATTCTCTAAGGTACAACAAATTTCCCCCATAATAATCCAGCCCTTTTCCCTCTATTTGAAGAGTAGCAGTTAGCCCATATCGTGAAATTAAAATATCTATAATAATAAAAGCGTAATATGCTAATTAGACTGGACATCCTTCTGGACAACCTTCCGGAAGAAGCCAGGGCTGCAAGAGAAGCCCGGGTCCCAGGTGCCAGAGGGAAGCTGGGGCCGGCAGCTGGGGGAAGGAAGGCCTACTGTTGCACAAATTTCGTGCATCGGGCCTCTAATCTTTAGATAAAAGAATCCTCCCGCCCTGACCGGTTTGGCTCAGTGGATAGAGCGTCGGACTGTGGACTCAAGGGTCCCGGGTTCGATTCCAGTCAAGGACATGTACCTTGGTTGCGGGCACATCCTCGGTGGGGAGTGTGCAGGAGGCAGCTGAATCGATGTTTCTCTCTCATCGATGTTTCTAACTTCTCTATCCCTCTCCTTTCCTCTCTGTAAAAAAAATCAATAAAATATATTAAAAAAAGAATCCTACCTATATGTAGGTTTAGCAGATGGAGAAAATTTTGCTTAGACATCAGCATCTTTGTTTGATTACAAAACTGCTGAAGTTAGGAGTAACTGCTGCTGAAGTGAGAGAAAAACATTAACTCCAGCTACTGCTCCACTTTACTGTGGTGTTGGGAGGAGGCAAGAGAACTTTGTAATAATCATTGATCTCTTTCTGGAAAAAGAGCTGTGTGAAGGTACACTACAAAAAAATCCCTCACACTTTGTAAAATGCTTCCCAAAGCATTTAACTTACATGAGTTTAATTTGATGTGGAAAAAGTATGCAAAACCAAAGATAATGCTTCAGGATGTAATACCAAAGGGAAACTAACACTCCTGGGTCATCCGAGTCTTCCAAGGCCCTTGGCTTCTACAATTCAACAGACCTTCCACTCTGGTCACTGGAAGGTTAATCTACAGGACACCTTTATGGGTTAGGCACCTGGCTTGTCACATGAATAAAGACCTTTTTTTAAGTCCACCTACGATCCTTTGGGTTGACAAATGATTCATCTGAAACAAAATCAGTTATGTTCTTTCTTAGTTTTATTATGATTAAAGGACCACTCTATGTACTACCTTGATATCCATTACTCAATAATTATTGGCAATAGGTTTCATAATCTCAGTCTCATTATAGAACAAGTAACAAGAGAGCAGTAAGGTTATTACCATTTACAACAGGTTAACATAAGCACACTGAAGACTGAAGAGCTATTACCAGCAATTTTCACTGGCAAACCCAGCCCTAAGTAATTAGATATCAAAGACTACTGTTAGATAAAGAACATGACATCACTATCAGAAGAGATTTCCAACACTAAAAATGTTAAAGATCTTACCTATGTATAAATTGGATCTGAATTCCACATTGTGGTCTCGCACTGCCATTTCTTGTGCTTCTAAAAGAATCTTAAACAAGGAAAAGAAAGGCAGTCATATGACTGACCCTGAACTAAAATGAAATTAAATTTGTCATTTCTTGTTGTTCTCTCTCTGACTGCTAGTCACATGCCTCCAGTTTACAGTCAATTTTAAAAAGAGAATATCAACTGATAACAGTACCAAGGAGAAGGGGTACAGTGAGTGAGCTTTCCTTTCTCAGACAAGAACTGCAAATGAAAGGAATACAGTCCATCAAGCCAGGTTTTAACTGGAATGTGTGAGCTGTGAAGGAGCAGATAGCAGCCCTTGCAGCAGTACCCTTCGTAATGAATAGCATGTCTTTGAGTCTGAGACTTGCCAAAAAGTTCAAGAAGCTCAAGAACTAACTCTTATTGAAAATACTTAAACTTCATATCCACAGTAACCATTAACAATATCAGACAAGTAGAAAAAAACATACTTGAAATTTTCCTTTAAGAATTACTACATTTAAACTCCATACATATTTTGAATTAACTTCCTCCAGATGACATTTTTAGAAACAGGAAAATTGTCAGAAATAACAGAAATCAAATCTTTCACTCCTTTAGATAAAGAATATAGTACAAAGCTGGTACACAACAGACATTCAGTAATTGCATTCTGAATTGGATTAAATATAGGCATTGGATTATATGGAACCTCTGAAAAGTCCGAGTCCATCAATCGTTAACTATTCACCTACTAAACTGAAAATATAAGATCTAACTTTAGGTGAGAGACTTAACTGAAGTATAGAAAATAATTCTGATATCCCTGGATATCCTCAAACCAGCTTTTTGAAACACGAGTCAGTGAATTTACCATCAGTCCATTTATACGTAGTAAATCAGCTACACTTAAAGCCGGGTCTTTAAAGATCTTCTAATCCAATCCCACCTATTTTACAAACAAGAAAAATGGGACCAGACAGATTATCACAATAGAAATATGAGAAAAAGGACTAGACTCCAAGTCTCTGGAATCCCAGTCCAATGCTCTTTCCACTCAACTAGTTAGAAAATCATGAACTCTCAGTTGTGGAATTGATCAAAAAAAATATTCTAAAAAATATATCAAGCCCCAAATCATTAAAAATAACATCTATCACTATCACTTCAAATATAAATGTCTGGTGCAAATAAAAGCATCAAAAGAAAAAATGCTTAAAGCACATGACATTCCGAAGGTATAAGGGCATTAATGAAACTGAGCATCCTAAATCTGTATTATATACACTAGGCATTAACACCAGGGAATTCAGAATTTAGGCTGAGCTTACTAACACTTGCAAGACAGCTATGCACCCCTCACCTCAAATCTTAGTTTACCTCTTTAATTATTTGGGCTCCTTTTTTGTCACTGAATTCCAATTGAGCCAAAGCCTGGTCAATGGACATTCCTCGAATCTAGAATTAAGGAGTGAGAGACAAGAGAAAATTAACTTACAAAACCAATGTTCTCATTTCAACGAAAAGCAAAAGTCTCTTTTTTTAAATTCTTTATTGTTGAAAGTATTACATATGTCTCCTTTTTCCCCCATTGGCCTCTCCCCACCCGCTCCCACTCCCCAGCACAGGCCCTCATCCTCCTACTGTCTGTGTCCATTGGTTATGCGTATATGCATGCATACAAGTCCTTCGAGTCTTACATAATCTAAATAACTTATACAAATAGCTAAGTAGTTATACACTGATTATATCTCAATAAAACTGGGGGAAAATTTTTAAATAAAACTAGTGGCCCAGTGCATGGATTTGTGCACATTGAAAGGAAATTAGAAGAAATATTTTAATATCGCTATTTGCCCTTTCTCTATAATAGAAGTGTCAGAGATCAAAGAAAATTAGTAAAATGTATATGAAATATATTAATAAACAAACAATAACATGATATAACAACAAACACATGATATAAAAACAACACATGATATAAAAACAAAAACATGACATAAAAACAACAAAAACATGATATAAAAACATTGATAAAAACAATGACTGATAAATTGATTAAACTTATTCTAGTATCTCCCTGTATACCACATTAAGAGTAAAAACACTTTCAGAGTGCTTGCCTAATTTCCCTTGCAATGAAGTATTTACAACTTTAATATCACAAGCTCTTGGAACTGAAGAGAAAGCAACATATAAACCATGTCCGAAAACGGATTCAGATAGGAATATTCCCACTCTGTCTAGAATTTGTCCTTGTGATTTATTAATAGTCATTGCAAATGCTGGCATCACAGGAAACTGTCTTTGAGTTAATTTAAGTGGGAGGCCAGTGTCAGACAGAGACAAATACAGCGCATGCTGGAGTCAACGTTTATTTTTCTTTTTAAGTTGCCAGTGCGTGTCATATGTACCAACTGGCCGGCCAGTCAGTCACTTAGCCTTTTATATATACAGATATATACAGACAGCTAACTAAATGCAGGCAAAAGAAAAGTTTGAGAAGGAATGCCACTGTCAAGATCAAGCTTAAACATGTTAACCATAAAACCTAGGTTGTAATAGTTTCCATAATATTAAAAGAGAGCACACATGACAGAGAGATCACGGTGGGCTAGGACCACACTGGGCAATAAAGGCATCTCTTTCTCCTACAGGACAGATGCATTACATGTACATTTGCTGCTTTTGTCGCCTCTCATACCTACATTTCACTTTCCAGAGAAAAAACATAGAAAGCAACAGTTTTGAAACAGGTTGAATCAACTCTTACAGGTGAATAAACTTGCTTTCTGGAATCTCTGGTTATAGCCAGGTTCCTGATGCCTTTTTCTAAATATCTATGTATCCAATGTGACACGGTTTCTTAGAAGAAAGGTAAAAATTAAGCAAAATCACTCATCTCTGAGCAATCATTTTTGAATTACCTACCAACTGTCTGAAAATGCAATTATATTCCTCACTTTTTAGAGGCAAATTCTTTTGATTTTTCAAATCCTGGGGGGAAGTCATAGGCTAGCTTCTTTAACTAAATATTACACGGTAATAGTTATTTTAGCTTACCAATTTTGCCAAATACCACATCTTGTCTCTGCTGTACTTTATTTGTCTTCGACAATGGTAGATTTCCTTACAAATAGAAAAGAAAAAAAAAAACTTTAGCAAGTTTATACCAAAATAACAATAATGGTTTTGCTCAGTGGTTGAACCAGGAGGTCACAGTTCGATTCCTGATTCCAGGTCAGGGCACATGCCTGGATTGCAGCCTCAAAACCCAATGAAGGGTGTTCTCTCTCTCTCTCCCTCCCGCTCTCTCTCTCTCTCTCTCTCTCTCTCTCTCTCTCTCTCTCTCCCTCCCTCCCTCCCTCTCCCTTCCTCTCTGAAATAAAAAAAAATAATTTTTTAAATGACAGTAACATAGTGTTAATAAAGTTTTGACTTTCTATGCCTAATGAAAATTCTGTCATAAGAAATAAAAACATTATTAATATTTATAGATTCTTTTTCCCTACACAAGATTATATATTTTCCAAAGTCTCACTATATTAAAAAAAAATTGCTAAGGGAAAAATAGAAATTACAAAATGACCAGTTTGTGCTAATGTGTGCTATATTTTTATCCAGAGGAATAGTGAAAGATTTAATGAAATTAAATGAAAGTATTTTTAAAACATTTAGTTGGCTAAAGGACCAAAAAAAAAAAAGAATAACAAGAAAAAACGTTTCCTGTTAGTGAAGAGAACAACTTTGAAATGGACAGAATAACTGTTCTCACCAGTCTGCCAGGTGTTTGGTCAACAGCATAGGTTCTAAGATCAAGCCGCCTGGGCTGGAACCCTAGCTCTACCATGTACTGACCACAGAACCCAAGCTCCTTAACCTCTCTGGGCCTAAATTCCTACTTCTTTAAAATGAAGATAATATTACCTACATCATAAAACCATAAGAATGAAATAAAATAACATGTTTAAAAAAGCACTTTACATTGCCTAGCACATGGTAAGATCTTAGTAAATGTTAGTTTTGTTACCTTCTATTTACAGTGGTAGGTACATCCTATTTAATTTTCTTTACCTTCTATTTACAGTGGTAGGTACATCCTATTTAATTTTCTTAAATATATTTTTTATTGTTGATGGTATTACAGATATCTCCCATTTCCTCCCTCCTCCCCCGTTTAATTATTTTTAAAAAATATATTTTATTGATTTTTTACAGAGAGGAAGGGAGAGAGACAGAGAGCCAGAAACATCGATGAGAGAGAAACATCGACCAGCTGCCTCCTGCACATCTCCCACTGGGGATGTGCCCGCAACCCAGGTACATGCCCCTGACCGGAATCGAACCCGGGACCCTTCAGTCCGCAGGCCGACGCTCTATCCACCGAGCCAAACCGGTTTTGGCCCCCGTTTAATTTTTTTAAATCAATAATCCATTAAGTAATTTATAACTCACAAAGCAATCATCAAATTTTATTTGATCTAACTCTACGGGTCGGGAGAGGAAACATTTTACAATCCTTTCACAAAGTGAAAACCAGAGAAATACAATGTCTGGTAGCTATATCTTCGAAGTTCCCCTTCTGACTCTAAAACCCGCATTATTTCCACCACTATATGCTATTAACTCACCTATACAGGACATAATGTGCAAAAGAGTTATTTGAATGAAGCAAAAGGAGGTCTAAATTATGAAACACGTAAGCCAGCAGCTACATACTGCCACTTTAAAAAATGTAGGAAACATTTGTCAAGGCAAGCGATAACAAGGAGACCTGAGAATTTTCTAACATCGACTCCTGCAGGAAATTTTCAAATGCCTCAGAAACAGCAGTTTTCTCAAGTGGCCATCTTTTAATCTGTAGCACATTTCATTTCAGTTGCAATAGAAGCTGACAGGCTGAAAACTGTAGCAATCCCCTAATTACATTTTCAGCAATAAAGTGTTCTGGGGAGCACAGGAGAGGAAAGAAGAACTGTCGTGACTGATAATATTAATTTGCAAAAATTAATACACTCAAAAAAATATTTTATATAAAAACATTTCAATTCTTGGTACCCCATGGTGGGCTCTCTTTAAACCTGAATTGTAGATAATTATCTTCAAATTTTGTAAAAAAGATGTAATCCTGGCAAGGGCATGGGAAAAGAGGACTCAGGAGTTTACAAAAAAAGGGGAAAGTTATTCAATCCTCCTCTTCTAAAACTAAAAAGTTCTACATTTACCTTAGGCAGGTGCCATGCCTAAGGATACTTTCTTAAGATAAACCAAGTGTTACTATAAATCTGGTTAAACATCACTGATATTAATTAACCATATGGTAAATGAGGTAAAGTTAGGATATAATGCACAAAATAGTTATCCAATGAAGTAAAAGTAAATCTAAATTATGAAACATCAAAACCAGGAACTTTTAAAGATGATGAAAAAGTGTCACCTAATAAAAGTCCTTACAAGAGCCTATGTGAACCCACATTAATAATATATAAGAATGACTTTTTATCAATAAGATATGGCTCTAATAGAAATGGTTTCTTAAACAGTTATGATCTACAGGGTGGGGCAAATAACACAATAATTAATAAAACAAGAAATAAGCTGTTTCAAATATTCACAACTGTAAACCTACTTTGCCCCATCTTATAGTCTTACTATACTTTTAATTTACTTAAAATAGCTTTTATCAAAGATACTACAAAAGTAAACTTAATCCCAAATTAACAAAGTATGACTATTATAAGGAAACTGTATTAATTTCTTTCTGGCTCATTTTCTTTACCACGATGAACCCACATGTAAGATAAAGTCTACATAGGAAACTACATTGTTTGTAAATTTGTGCTAATTTAATTAGGCAGGTAGTCTTAAAATAACAGGAGTGACCGAAAACATGCCTAACGTAGTGACATTCTTTTTAACTTACTGCTATAGGATATACTCAATACCCCATTCACTATGATTTGTTTAACTACATATTCCAATGCTGAAGATCAGAATGATGTAGAATGGGAAATATTATCTCTCCCTCTGTTAAATTAGAAATAAAACTAATTTTTAAAATGTTTGCAGCCAGCAGATTGGTAAGCCTAAGGGACACTGCACATAATGTCACAGTGCATGAACTATGTGGCTAGATGAGCAAATTATCCCCTATTAATAAAGTAGGTATTTATGAAGGGCATTAATATTTCAGTCATAATAGGTATTAGTGATACACCAAAGTCCCAAAAGGATTACTCTCTCAAACAAAATCTGTACAACATAGAAAATTAAATTAGGTTTCTCAAAGTGCCTATATAAAATCAAGCCAAATATTTTCATACAGGCACTTGTATAATGAGTATAAATGATATAAAAAAAGTTAATCAAAATAGTTTCAGGAAATACAATATATAACAAATGATTAGAGTGGCATTGTTCTTCCTTTGCTAAAGTTAAGTAAATGACCTACAGTTAACTATTTTAATTTTGACATTTGGTATGAATCCTGGAATACATTTTCTTTTTAATAACCAAAACAGACTAATGCTACAAAATATAAAATTTTGCTCTTAGATTCTGGACCTGACAAATACTATTATGATTTATTTACTTCCAATTAATATATAAGTTCAAAGAGCTCAAGTAAGAAGTAAAGAAAGCTCATTAATTCTAGGAAATATGTGATTTATAATAAACTGTGCAAATGTGTAACATTTTCTAAATTTTTTTTAATTACAAAATGGAGTCAATACTTAATAGTACAGTAATAGAGATGGAGGAGGGTATAGAGGGGATAAATGGTGATAAAATTAAAGAAAGAAAAATTCTTAATAGTATAGATTGTTACAAATCTAATTTTAAATTTTGATGGCATGATAAAATATGAAAATTAAAAATGTGTTTAAACTATTAGCATCTTTCTCCTCAGATTTCCCAATCAGGTGGGATTTCTTTAAATCAATAAATTAACTCCCTTAAATGAGAAAATAAAAAGAAAACATAAAACTGTATTAATTCAGACCAATACTTAGCAACTGAACCTTAATAAAATGTATGTGGTCAAGTCCATATAAAAAATAAGCAAATAACATTATTTAGACCATATGGATTATCCAGGAGCCTTAATCCCAAAGGCCTTTAAAAGATGTTTGCTGAACTGAATGATTTATAATTAACACAGTAATTCTATTTCTATAGTATTTACCAGTTTATTTACTTAAGGATTCCAATGTTCCCTTCTTGTTTATGCTATCACTACTTGCTTAAACTTTTTTTTTTTTTTTTTTTTTAAATTTCAGAGAGGAAAGGAGAGGGAGAGAGAGAGAAAAACATCAATGAGGAGAGCGAATCACTGATTGGCTGGCTCCTACACACCCCACACTGGGAACTGAACCATGACCTCCTAGTTCATAGGTTGACACTCAACCACTGAGAGACACCGGCCAGGCATAACCTTTTAAACAGATGTAAATATATTCCACAGTAAATTCACATTAAGCTGATATCAGTCATATCTCAGATGAGTAATCACAAGCAATTTGAAGAGGGTAAAAGAATTCTGAGAGAGAAACCAAGATGGTGGCATAGGTAAACACCGGAGTTTGCTGCCTCGAACAACCACTTCAAAAATACAACTAAAAGACGGAACGACTTCAGAGATATAACTAAAGGACAGAACAGACATCACCCAGAACCACGGGAAGGCTGGCTGAGTGGAAATTCTACAACTAGGAGGAAAGAGAATATCATACCCAGACTCAGAGGAGGCGCAGTGCTGAAGTGAAATACTCAGGTGCGGAGTGCGCGCGCGGAGCGGGCTGGCGGCGGAGGGCGCGGTTGTTGTTTTCAATCGGGAGGGAGTTTCAGACTCTGAGCTCCAGATCCGGGCGAGTCTCTGGGGACCGAGACTCAAACGGGAGAAACGGGACTGTCTGGCTTCGGTCGGAACTCGAAGGCAGCTTTCTCTCCGAGGTTTGCAGCCATTGCTGGGGCTCTGAGAGGCAGAGCCCCTGGGGAAGGAACTGAGAGTCGCCATAACTGCTCGTTCCGCCCGCCCTGTAGATCCCCGGGGACCCGCCCCGCCCAAGCCCTGCACAGAACCATTTGCCGGATAGCCCCAGGCAAACGCTAGATTAGCACCGCCCTAGAGATCCAGCACAGAAGCCCTCCCACTACAGACACAGCAGACTCTCATAGCCAGTTAGCCTGGAGGTCAAATCACCCCGGTATTGCCGACATCAATCAAGGCTTAAAGGCAACAAGACTGCGGACAAAGACCACTAGGGGGTGCACCAAGAAAGCATAAAAAATGCGGAGACAAAGAAACAGGACAAAACTGTCAATGGAGGATATTGAGTTCAGAACCACACTTTTAAGGTCTCTTAAGAACTGTCTAGAAGCTGCCGATAAACTTAGTAAGGCCCTTGAAAAGACTGGTGAGACCGCCGATAAATGTAGTGAGATCCTCAAGAAATCTAATGAGACCCTCGATGTTGTGATAAAGAACCAACTAGAAATTAAGCATACACTGACTGAAATAAAGAATATTATACAGACACCCAACAGCAGACCAGAGGAGCGCAAGAATCAAGTCAAAGATTCGAAATGCGAAGAAGCAAAAAACACCCAACTGGAAAAGCAAAATGAAAAAAGAATCCGAAAATATGAAGATAGTGTAAGGAGCCTCTGGGACAGCTTCAAGCGCACCAACATCAGAATTATAGGGGTGCCAGAGGATGAGAGAGAGCAAGATATTGAAAACCTATTTAAAGAAATAATGACAGAAAACTTCCCCCACCTGGTGAAAGAAATAGACCTACAGGTCCAGGAAGCGCAGAGAACCCCAAACAAAAGGAATCCAAAGAGGACCACACCAAGACACATCATAATTAAAATGCCAAGAGCAAAAGACAAAGAGAGAATCTTAAAAGCAGCAAGAGAAAGAAACCCAGTTACCTACAAGGGAATACCTATACGACTGTCAGCTGATTTCTCAACAGAAACTTTGCAGGCCAGAAGGGAATGGCAAGAAATATTCAAAGTGATGAATACCAAGAACCTACAACCAAGATTACTTTATCCAGCAAAGCTATCATTCAGAATGGAAGGTCAGATAAAGAGCTTCACAGATAAGGAAAAGCTAAAGGAGTTCATCACCACCAAACCAGTATTATATGAAATGCTGAAAGGTATCCTTTAAGAAGAGGAAGAAGAAAAAAAAAAAAGGTAAAGATACAAATTATGAACAACAAATATGCATCTATCAACAAGTGAATCTAAGAATCAAGTGAATAAATAATCTGGTGATCATAATAGAATCAGGGACATAGAAAGGGAATGGACTGACTATTCTTGGGGGGGAAAGGGGTGTGGGAGATGCGGGAAGAGACTGGACAAAAATCGTGCACCTATGGAAGAGGACAGTGGGTGGGGAGTGAGGGCGGAGGGTGGGGCAGGAGCTGGGAGGAGGGGAGTTATGGGGGGAAAAAAAAGAGGAACAAATGTAATAATCTGAACAATAAAGATTTAATTAAAAAAAATAAAAATAAAAATAAAAATAAAAGACGGAACGGACACCATCCAGAACCACAGGAAGGCTGGCTGAGTGGAAATTCTGCAACTAGGAGAAAAGAGTAAAACATACCGAGACTCAGAGGAGGCGCAGTGCTGAAGTGGGATACTGAGGTGCGGAGTGCATGCGGAGTGGGCTGGCGGCTGAGGGCGTGGTTGTTGTTTTCAATCGGGAGGGAGTCTCAGACTCTGAGCTCCAGCTCCGGGCGAGTCTCTAGGGACCCAGACTCAAACGGGAGAAGCGGGACTGTCTGGCATCGCTCAGAACCCTAGGGCAGCTTTCTCTCCATGGGGCTTGCAGCGATTGCTGGGGCACTGGGAAGCAGAGCCTCTGACGGCAAGACTGAGAGCAGCCATAATTGCTAACCCCACCTTGTTGATCCCTTGGGACCCATCCCACCCAAGCCCTGCAGGGAGACTTTTGCTGGATAGCCTCAGGCAAAGGCTAGATTAGCGCCTCCCTAGAGATCCAGGAGCCAATGTACCCAGAGATCAGAGTGGGACCATCCAGTTTGCAGTTCTGTGGAACCGTAAAAGACACACTCAGGGGGAAGACTCAATGAGCACCAAAGCCCCATCGAAGCAAGTCTAGCCCCAGAGGGGTGTTTCCAGCACAGAAGTTCTCCTACTGCAGACACAGCTGATTCTCACAGCCAATTGGCCTGGAGGTCAATTCCTCACAGTGATAACTACAACAATCAAGGCTAATTACAACAAGACTGTGCACAAAGCCCACAAGGGGGTGCACCAAGAGTGTCTACCTCAGGTAATTGGGACACTTAGCACAGAAAGGAACTCTATCGACACAGCGAAGCATAAAAAATGCCGAGACAAAGAAACAGGACACAAACGACAGAATTGGAGGAAAGCAAACTGCTGGATATAGAGTTCAAAACCATACTTTTAAGGTCTTTAAAGAACTGTATAGAAGCCGCCGATAAACTTAATAAGGCCCTCGAAAAGACTGGTGAGACCGCCGATAAATGTAGTGAGATCTTCAAGAAGACTGGTGAGACTGCCGATAAATGTAGTGAGATCCTCAAGAAATCTAATGAGACCCTCGATGTTGTGATAAAGGACCAACTAGAAATTAAGCATACACTGACTGAAATAAAGAACATTATACAGACTCCCAACAACAGACCAGAGGATCGCAAGAATCAAGTCAAAGATTTGAAATACAAAGAAACAAAAAACACCCAACCGGAAAAGCAAAATGAAAAAAGAATCCGAAAATACGAAGATAGTGTAAGGAGCCTCTGGGACAGCTTCAAGCGTACCAACATCAGAATTATAGGGGTGCCAGAAGATGAGAGAGAGCAAGATATTGAAAACCTATTTGAAGAAATAATGACAGAAAACTTCCCCTACCTGGTCAAAGAAATAGACTTACAAGTCCAGGAAGTGCAGAGAACCCCAAACAAAAGGAATCCAAAGAGGACCACACCAAGACACATCATAATTAAAATGCCAAGAGCAAAAGACAAAGAGAGAATCCTAAAAGCAGCAAGAGAAAGAAACTCAGTTACCTACAAGGGAGTACCCATACGACTGTCAGCTGATTTCTCAACAGAAACTTTGCAGGTCCGAAGGGAGTGGCAAGAAATATTCAAAGTGATGAATACCAAGAACCTACAACCAAGACTACTTTATCCAGCAAAACTATCATTCAGAAGTGAAGGCCAGATAAAGAGCTTCACAGATAAGGAAAAGCTAAAGGAGTTCATCACCACCAAACCAGGATTATATGAAATGCTGAAAGGTATCCTTTAAGAAGAGGAAGAAGAAGAAAAAGGGAAAGATACAAATTATGAACAACAAATACACATCTATTAACAAGTGAATCTAAAAATCAAGTGAATAAATAATCTGATGAACAGTATGAACTGGCGATTGTAATAGAATCAGGGACATAGAAAGGGAATGGACTATTCTTGGGGGGGGGGGGAAGGGGTGTGGGGTGAGGGAAGAGATTGGACAATAATCGTGCACCTATGGATGAGGACAGTGGGTGGGGAGTGAGGGTGGAGGGTGGGGTGGGAACTGGGTGGAGGGGAGTTATGGTGGGAAAAAAGAGTAACTAATGTAATAATCTGAACAATAAAGATTTAATTTAAAAAAAAAAGAATTCTGAGCAGCTAAAGATTAAGATAATACTTGATTAAATTCAAACCTTATGTTCAAAGATTTGTGAATTATAAAACAACCAAGTGTGCCCATATTCAAATATAAAACATTGGAAAATCATATATGATTTAAATATTGGTCAATAGTTTAAGTCATTCTTGTCCACTCCTCATGCTCCATTATCAAGAATTCATTAGCAAACCCCTTAAAATAAAAAAATCAGTAAATCTCAAAACTACTAGCTTAGAGTTAAGGCCCCTATCTGGGAGGTTAACAATGTAAGGCAAACAAAAAGGAACAACAAATACCATCTTTTAAAACTTCCAAAGGGATAAACCCAGTACATTTTCTTTATCAATTAAAGGATTATGCCAACTGCTGTATATTTTTTTCTTTTCTTAACATGGAATAATAAATCACTGTGGGCCACAGAAGAGTGCTAGAGCTTTATCAAAATTTAGAAATTGGTTCTATCACAAACTTACTGCTGGTCTCCGAGGTTCTCCAGGCAGTTGTGGAGGATAAACAATTTTATTCTTCTTCTCCCATCTTCGAGAAGTGTCAAGAGAAGCACTTGTGTGGATGTGGGATTGGGGTAAAACACTCTGAGATGGAAGAAGCCTGTAAAACAACAGACACTTAGCATCTTTTCGCAGAGCCTACATGTCTTCTGAGCCATATCGGTTCCATTTTGACAGAAACTATTTAAGGATCACAAATGGAAACATTCCAGACATACTCATTAATAGAGACTTCTTTTACATAAAAAAGCTAAAAGAGCTAGTTTATCAAAGGCTAGGAAGAATGAAAAGTTAATAATTTGAATAAAGTCAAATAATAAATATTCACCCAAGATCTCTTGCTCTCACTGACCAATAAATATGACTCTGTATTATAAGGCAGCCCAGTCCTAAAGTAAATTTAAAGACATAATGCATTGCTGACCTGATGTGTAGATTTCCTCAACTTTGTTGGGTAAGAAGACAAATAACATTATTTTATAAACACTAAGAAATTAATGGATAAAGTTGGCAAGATGTGTCTCCTGATAAAAGAACATGCCACCCGCCATCCATGAAGTAGTCTTTCCACAAAATTAACCTAAACTGATAAAGCCTCTAGATTCAATACAGGAAATACATAGAGAGATCATATCAAACAACATCAAGAGAATGCACTCAGCAAAATCCAAGCTGTACAAAACTCTACAAGACAAACAACCCATTTTCTTCTATAGATAAACTGTAAGGGGGAAAAGAGAGCTGAATTAAGAACCTACATATTAAAGATGTAATAGAAACAATTAATTTCAATGCGTGGACTATTATTTCAAAAATATGACAGCTACTTAACCATTATTGGAAATTTAAACATTAAATGGACATTTGATTCGTAAAGAGATATGTAGTGAAATGTTTGTGGATGAAATAATATAGTGGCTAAGACAGTGATGGCAAACCTTTTGAACTCGGCATGTCAGCATTTTGAAAAACCCTAACTTAACTCTGGTGCCGTGTCACATAGAGAAATTTTTTGATATTTGCAACCATAGTAAAACAAAGATTTATATTTTTGATATTTATTTTATATATTTAAATGCCATTTAACAGAAAAATCAACCAAAAAAATGAGTTCGCGTGTCATCACTGGGCTAAGATCTGTTTCAAAATATGATGGGCGAGAGTAGAGTCTATAGATAAAACAAGATTAGCCATGTGTTAATAACTGCTGAAGTTGGGTGATGGGCTCATCATATTGTCTACTTTTGTGTATATCTGGATATATCCAAGTAGCACAACAAACTTAGATGTTTCCCTACTGCCTGTAGTATAGAGTCCCACATTATAAGGCCTTTTATAACCTAACCCCAACCAGGCCTTTCAGCTTACCCACTGTATGGCCTAGCCCAGAGACATGCTTTGTTCCCTGAATAAGGCACACACTTTCATATCTCTACACTTTTGTTAATATTGTTTTCTCCTCCCTGATCTCCTGAGAAATGCTTATCCTGTTTAAAGTTCCACCTCAAAAGTTACTTAGTCCATCTCCCAGACAACCGTTCCCTCAATGATCTCCGTACTTGGCTCTTGCCAGCCACTCAGCAAGGAGCCGGACTACTGTACCTGTGGAACAATGAGTTCCTGTAGTAAGGAACAGATTTGAGCATCGAGGGCAAGCCTGGCATCCTTTCTGTTCCAGCACCAAGGACAACACCTGGCCTAGGGATAATGAGTAAATACTTAACCCAGACTTTCATATTCAAAGTTGTTGTATACCGCCAGATTCTCACACAATACATTTAGGTTCCAATGTTTTACATGAAAAGTACAAAAGTAGGATACATGATGTTAGAGGGCAGGATTTCCTAATGAAACTATAAGCCAGGTGAGGAGGGCAGAGAGTATGGAGTCACGCAGACCTGGGTCTAAATTCTAACTCTAATTTACTAAGAGAATGGCCTTGGGGAAGCCACATAACTTTCTAGATCTCTGGTTTCTCAGCAGGAAAAGGAGTAATAATAGTAATTACTTCATAGGCTTCTTCAGTAGCTCAAATGAGATACTGTAAGTTAAATACTTAACCTGACACTTCATAGGGCTCAATAAATTGTAGGTATTATTTTTAGATTGAGAAGAATAACTACCTCACTTGGTTGTTGGTAAATTAGTAATTAATGTGCCATATCTTACAGTATCAAGGAGATGATAAACACTGATAGCTAGTATTAATTTTAAATTAGGCCCTCTGAGCAGTTAATTCTTTCCTGTTCTCTGAAAAATAAATCCCGTGAACTGTAAACTTCATATTACACCCTTTCAAATCTTCTCATGTTTAAGTCATATCGTTTATGTTTCTACAAAGTTGTAATTAACTATGGGCACACGAAGTTTGTCACCTCTTTGGGCTTCATTTTCTTTATCTATGAAAAGAGCAATTGGACTATGTCATCTCTAGGGTCTCTCCAAACCTTAATTCTGTTTCCAGTCCAAATATACATAGTAAATATACATCTGGTCATTAAGATGACCAAAATAAATTAAACACATTATAAATTAATAATGACAAAGTTTTCTGAATACCTACAATACTTTCAGGACTCAAATGGTTCATAAGATGAATTATCAAGTAAAAACAAAACTACTGTAATCAAATTAAATCATTATTCCAAATTGGGTACTAATTCAGAAGTGTATTAAATCCAAAGTTCTTATGTGCCCTCTCCTGGCCAGCTGTTAGAATAACACTAAATCAAAAAAATAAAATGTAATCATAAGGTAGAATTGAAAATAAAACTAATTCAAAATTGAAGCTTTTATAACACCTTTTTATGTGAGAAAGCCTATGAAGGGTCACTTGAAAAAACAAACTCAAGAAAAGGAAGTTGCTGGAATTAAAAACAATGGCATAGGTTATTGCTATTGTTTTCCAACAAACATTCATTTTTTTAAAATTGATTTTAGAGAGAGAGAAACATCGATGTGATAGAGAATCACCAATCAATTGCCTTCTGTACACACCCAGACCAGGGACTGAAGCTGGGTATATGCCCTGACTGGAAATCAAACCAACAACTTTTCAGTGTACGGGATCACGCTCCAACCGAACTATACGGCCAGGGCAAACATTAAATTTTAAGTTTGCCTGGAGGTCCAGTTTACTGTTAGCATTCTAAAGAATCAAAGTAAGCTAAATCTTTTTTTCTTTAACTTGTTTTTACTATTGATTTGAGAGAGAGAGGAAGAGGGAGAGAGAGAAACATGGATGTGGAGAGTAACATAGATCAGCTGCCTCCTGCATGGGGGGCACTGGGGACTGAGCCCCAAACCCAGGCATGTACCCTGACTGGGAATTGAACCTGTGACTTCTGTGACCTCTCAGTGCATGGGATTGTGCTCAACCACTGAGCCACACCAGCTAGGACTGTTAAACCTTTTTTTTTTTTTAACCAGTAAAGGACATCTAGAATCTACTTTTATCATTTTGAAATTCAAGTATCATCACTAACAATAGCTTTTCATTTACTAGGAATCCGAAATCCTGTTAACTTCACTGTAAGTAGGTGAACCAACGCTCCAGAGTGCTTGTACACACAACATGCACACAGGTGGCCCGCAGTAAGGTGAGATGCCAGAGGCACGCAGAAAGCAGGTGGCAGACTAAAACTGGCACATGAAGCATTTCCTTACTCTCATGATTCTGGTGTTTCCTGTCTACCGATACTCAAGGATTACATTTAAGTATCACTTTTTAAAGTCTACCCACATTCTTTAGGCATTGGGGAGTAGTAGATAAAAGCCAAACTTTAGAATTAAGAGTTAATTCCAATAAGACAGAGACTCTGAAACTTTCCAAAGTCACAATTGAAAGAACTAATACTTCCTATTTATTATTCAAAGTTCATTTTGAAATTCAGAACAAGATATACCCAAGTCCCAAGCGAAGATAATACTGGCCTCAGGCTCAATCTTGATAATATCATTCTATATGCATCAAGGAAAAAATTCTTTGTTCCAAATTTACTTCTGATAACATTAAGTTAATCCTGCACTTGAGACTGAATAAAAGAACTGCCTCCCCCTTGCCTCATTTAAAATCTAAAATAAAGGGCTGAAGTGATATGCATATTCTCATAACTCAATATAATCTTACTTTGTCAAAGTCAAGGACAATCAAACAAGGAAACAGCTTAGCCAATGAAAAAAGTAAAATTCCAGCAACTTTCCGAGTTTTCCAACCTCTGCACTACTGACATTTTGGGCTTTTTCTGTGGAGGGCTGTCCTGTGCCTTATAGGATGTACAGTAGCATCCCTCACCTCTACCCACCAGATGCCAGTAACAACCCTGCCTCAGTTGTAAGAAACAAAAATGTCTCCAGAAATTGACAAATGTCCCCTGGGTGGCAAAACTGCCCGCAGTAGAAAGACACTATTAGCTAAAGTGACAGTCAAAAACAAACAAACAAACAAACAAACAGTTAATTCTTGCAGAACATGAGCTCTCTGTTCCAAAAGGTTCCTGTTACTATGTCATACATATGTGGGTGGTTAATAAGCCAGATTTTCTATGTAAGCCAAGGTTAGCTAAATGCTTAAATTTTACATTCTTCAACCGAGGATATGTCTTTTAGGTTTTTAAAATTTATTTTAGAGAGAGAGAGAGAGAAAGGGAGAGGGAAGGAGGGAGAGAAACATTGATGTGAGAGATAAATATCAATCAGCTGCTTCCCATACACACCCCAACCGGGACTCGAACCTGCAACCTGGGTATGTGTCCTCACCTGTTATTGAACCTTGGTCTTTCAGTGTACGAGACGATGCTCCAACCAACTGAGCCACACTGGCCAGGCTAAATTTTATATATATATATTTTTAAAATATATTTTATTGATTTTTTACAGAGAGGAAGGGAGAGGGATAGAGAGTTAGAAACATCGATGAGAGACAAACATCCATCAGCTGCCTCCTGCACACCCCCTACTGGGGATATGCCCACAACCAAGGTACATGCCCCTGACCAGAACCGAACCTGGGACCCTTGAGTCTGCAGGCCGACACTCTATCCACTGAGGCAAACCGGTTAGGGCTAAATTTTATATTTAAAAAATATATTTTTTTTTATTGATTTCAGAGACAGAGAGGGAGAGGGAGATAGAAACATCAATTTTTACATTTTTATTCATAAACCCCAAGTGGACCCTGAAGGCTGCCTGGCATTCCTATTTTATTTCCCTTGTCCATTTCATCTCCTAGCCCAATGATGATGAACCTTTTGAGCTCGACATGTCAGCATTTTGAAAAACCCTAACTTAACTCTGGTGCCATGTCATATAGAGAAACTTTTTGATATTTGCAACAATAGTAAAACAAAGATTTATATTTTTGATATTTATTTTATATATTTAAATGCCATTTAACAAAGAAAAATCAACCAAAAGAATGAGTTTGCGTGTCACCTGACACACGTGTCATAGGTTCGCCATCACTGTCCTAGCCCCTACAAACAAATATCATACCTTTTCTTGCTAGTCAAGCCTCCCATATCACCTCTCTCACTCTCAATCTCAACTGTTAACAATGCTTATTTAGCTAAGAAAAAGCAAACAATTGGAAGATAATTTCCACAAGCTCCCACCACCTAATCCATATACCTAGCCACATACCTTCTCTCATTATTATGCATGAAATGTCTAGGCCCTAGCTAGTACCACTCTCATCCCTTCTCCCTAGATCCCATTCCTTCCCACTATTCAAGTACATTGCTCAGGCATTTCTTTCTTCCCTCTTCCTATCAGCAATGTTTTCATCTCTATTGGATCATTCCCATCAGCAAACAAATAAACTCAAATAGTCTCCCAACTTAAAACCAACCCTCCCCTAACCAAGTCCTCTAACTACAGCCGCAAAGCTCTACTGTGTACTGCACTAGTCATGATTGTGTCCTCATTGCAGAGTGAGCATTACAGCACCTCACGCATCACAAACAGATGCTTGTGTTTAGGTGTGATGTCCCAGTGCAGATTCCTAGCTTGAGGACTATTAAATTACAAACAACTATGACTATAATATGTGTTTTTCTAGGAAGATGCTTTGTGGCTTTCCTCATATTCTCAAAGGGGTCTGTGACTCCAATTAAGAACCATTGTCTTAAAAAGCAAGAAACCACAATCTCTCAGATCACAAGGTAAGATTTAATTAAGAGAGCACAAAATCAATGTGGTTGTCAAATCTTGCTGGTCATGCAATCAGAACACTTGAAAGCAGAGATGAATAAAAACCAGAGATATTTCCTAAACCACCAAAATGTACTCTGATCAGAAAATTGACAATCAGATTTAGAGATATTTTCTAAACCACCAAAATGTACTCTTCACTTTAAACTTGTCACCTCTTCCCAAAAAACTTCCCTGACAAACCTTTTCTGTGCCCAACACTCTGTCCCTCCATAGTGTGACAGGACACTATTTAAAGCCAGAGGATTTTTTGTTTAGATCCTAGACTTGCCACGTATTAACTGTATAACTTTCAGTAGGTCACAAAATTTCTCAAATGCATCCATCAGTGAAATGGGAGACTTGGAATTCAAAGGTTGGAAAATGTCCGTTTGCAACCAAATACAGCCTATGGAAAGGTTTCATCTGGTCTTAGCCCAATTCAAAGCCTTTAGATGAGGAATGCACTCTAAATTGACACAGGCCCTAACACTCTCTCATTTTACAAAAACCACTTCTCCTAATTAATTTATTTCTAGCACCTATATGCAATTAGTTCCTAAACACTGAATTAGATGATCCCTAAGATTTTACAGTTATCACGGGCAGTATTTATACCAGCCGTGGGCAAACTAAAAAAAAAAAAAGACCGCACCCTTTTATGTAATGATGTTTACTTTGAATTTATATTAGTTCACACAAACACTCCATCCATGCTTTTGTTCCAGCCCTCCGGTTCAGTTTAAGAACCCATTGTGGCCGAAACCGGTTTGGCTCAGTGGATAGAGCGTCGGCCTGCGGACTGAGGGGTCCCAGGTTCGATTCCGGTCAAGGGCATGTACCTGGGTTGCGGGCACATCCCCAGTGGGAGATGTGCAGGAGGCGGCTGATCGATGTTTCTCTCCCATCGATGTTTCTAACTCTCTATCTCTCTCCCTTCCTCTGTGAAAAAAATCAATAAAATATATTTAAAAAAAAAAAAAAAAAAAAAAAGAACCCATTGTGGCCCTCGAGTCAAAAAGTTTGCCCACCCCTGATTTATACCTTTTCCACTTAGTTTTCATCTGATCATTTCCCCATTAGAAAGTCCAGAATAGGGATTCAGAGAATTACATAATTGCAGAACTGGAAAGAGTCTTACAAGATTATCTAGAAAATTCCAACCATCTTGTATGACATTGATGAAAAAACTGAAGCCAAACTAAGTTATTTGGCTCAGATCTTCCCAATATAAATCACTGCAGGACAATTTAAATCAACAAACATTAACAAAGTCTTTACTTTTTTCAGGACCCAATGCTGGAGCTACAAGAGAAACAAGAACTGACCCTATCTGTCCAGGGTTCACAGCTACTAAAGGGCCAGACACATGCACATGAAGTGACTACTCAAGGCACACACGCTAAAAGGAAGGAGAAATTAATGCCTTTCATTTTTAGTGAGACCCAAGAAAAGCTTCTGAAGGTGAAACATTTTGAATAGGGGGTTAAATAACAAGTAGGACTACTGTTGAAGACAGGAAGTGAGGGCACAGCATGAAAAAGCCAAGAGGCAAGTGTATGCACAACATATTCAGAAGACAGTAAGTTAATCAGCATGGCTGCAGTAGAGAGAAGGAACCTAAGAAAGCAAAGTGTAGGCAAACCCTAAGGGCTGTGCCCCCTATTTTCTTTGTTAGCCCACCTCTTCATCCTCTTGAACCAAGAGCCTAGGATGGAGCAAAAAACAAAACAAAACAAACAACAACAAAAAACGGGAAATCAGTAATCCTATATAATGAAAGGTTAATATGCAAATGGACCGAATGGCAGAACAGCCTGTCGCTATGACACACACTGACCACCAGGGGGCATATGCTCAACGCAGGAGCTGCTCCCCTGGTGGTCAGTGTGCTCCCACAGGGGAGCACTGCTCAGCCAGAGGCTGGGCTCACAGCTGGCCAGCACAGTGGCGGTGGAAGGAGCCTCTCCCCCTGGCTGCAGTGCTAAGGATGTCCAACTGACAGCCCCCAAAGGCTCTGGGACTATGAGAGGGCACAGGCTGGGCTAAGGGACCCCCCTAGAGTGCACAAATTTTGTGCACCGGGCCTCTAGTCATTTATAATGGTAAAAGCAGCAATGGCAGTTAAAATTTAGGGTGGATTATTATATAACATGCACTGTCCTAAACATTTCATATACATTATCTCAATCCTCATAAAATAATCTATGAGGTAAGTACTACTATTTCTCTTATAGCATGAGAACTGAAACTTAGAAAAATAAGTAACTTCCCCCAAATCACACACTTAAAAAGATTTGCACCCAACTTTTCTGTCTCCAAAGCCTATATAAACAAAAGTAAAGGCTGATCAGAAATTTTACAATCAGAAATTTTACAATCCCTATATCTGAGGGACCTTAGGCAAGTTTTTACTTTGGAGGGCTCTAAATTCCTTGTCTGAAAAATGGGGACGTACACTACACAGGATGGTACGAGAACGAGAGAATGCATAAAAAGCGAGCAACACAACCCCAGGCGAGGTCAGCCGCGCTGTCTGCAACGCGGGCCCTGCAGGTGTAAGCAGGCACTGGAGCGGGAACCAGGAAGGACGCTGCGGTGAGGTTGGGAGAGTCTGACCGTGTTCAGAAAGATCAGAAAAGACATTGCAGCCCTAGATGGTTTGGCTCAGTGGGTAGAGCGTTTATTGAAGGGTCCCAGGTTCGATTCCCGCCAAGGGCATATGCCTAAATTGCAAGCTCGATCCCCAGTGCCGATCAATGATTCTCTCTCATCATTGATGTTTCTCTCTCCCCCACCCCCTCCTTCCTCTCTGAAATCAATTTTTTAAAAAAGAAGAAAGAAAAGAGACATTGCAGGTAATCCTAATTCTGATCCCCCGAGGGCTACGAATAAGGCGGTGGAATGGTGGCCCCAGAGCCTAAAACGGAGCCCGCACTAGTAAGGCCGTGGCCCTTCTGCAACTCCGAGGCCACTTACCCCAGGGCCAGCTTCCGCCTCAGACTCTGCATCCAGAACGCACCTGCAACAGCAACACAAGCCGTCAACTCAGACTCCCACCTCCTCTCTCTTCTACCGCCCCTTAACCACCAAAACCCTCACCCAGACGGTCCAGTACTGCCGCCGCCATCTTGCTCCTCCCCTCTACGGAAGCCTCCGAGCTCAGTCAGCGTCTGGACAGGACGCATGCGCGATTCTCCGCTTTCCTTCCCCCGCCCCCCGGGGAAAACCCGTCAGTACCTACACCTGCGGTGTTGTCATGGAGACCACCAAGACGCTGCCAGCGCTGCCAGCGCTTAAGGCGTGATCAGCCCAACCTTGCTAAGGAATGAATGACTTAACAAAAGCCGAAAAGTAGTCAGTTTCCGGAAATTCATCGGGATCCAGAAAAATTACGAAACCTCACCTCACAAATGGTCTGAAAGGATTAGGGGAGCAGAGACCTCGAACAAGCCACCTAACCTGGGTGGGCCTCAGGGTTCTAGCCAGTGAAATAGAATAATTATCCTTACAGCAGTTTTGTTTTAAGAGTTCCACTGGAGATCACGTGGAAAGATCTTTTATAAAACAAACAGTTCAAATATAAAGTATGATGTCCTAATCCCTATTAATCTCCAGGTTGACCTACAAGAGATAGAAGTTAATTATCATCGGGCACTTGCTACTGTCTATGTCCAGCGAGCATTTCACTAAATCTCAGTATTCCTCAGAGCAATGCAACAAGGCATAGATTATCATTTTCCTTCTTCAAATGAAGAAAGAGGCTTAGGATAAGCTAAAGTCTCTTAGATAACAACTGGCAAAAACCAGTAGTCCATCTAAGGCGTTATGCCTCCAAAGTTAGTACCCCTACCCATATCCAAAGATATGCGTTTTGCCTGTGTTAAGATAGATATCTCGGGTTTCGTTTGCTACATACGGGAGTGCCAGCTACCCAATGCAAGCAATACCGGAGCAGGAGAGTGTAGTGCAGCAGTGTGAGCACCTGCCCGTTTGCGTTGGAAGGAAACTTCCATTCTTTTCCTCCGCAGCACTTAGCACATAGTTTCACGGAGCTGGCACTCAGTCAAATGGAGTCACTCTACTCTTCTTCTCCCTGACTTACCAAGAACCCGAAGCCAGAATTTCCACCCAAGAGCACAAACTCTTTTTTTTTTTTTTTTTGAGTTCTGATTGGAACATTTATCTATTTGTTAGATATCTTTGGATATATCCTTGTAGCTATCTTTCAACCTTTTCGTCTCATGGTACACATAAACTAATTACTAAAATCCTGTGGCACACCAAAAAATGTATTTTTTTGCCAATCTGAGCAAAACAAAAAAGGGGGGGGGCATAATTTTGATTCATTCATACCGAGCCGCTATTGTTGTGTTGGCTGTCCTTATTTTTTTATTTGACAATCTAAGGGAAACGGGGTCAATGCCCCTCACTAAGTAGCCAGGTATTGCGTGTTTTAAAAATTCTTGCTGTCTCGGCGGCACACCAGTGGAAAACCTCTGCTTTAAAAAGCATCTCCAGAGCTAGCGAAGTGCCCTGGCAGGAAGCGTTCAAAAATTCCTTGGGGCGGCGTTAAACCGGCGGAGCGGGAAGATGTCGCCACTGGTCTAACCCGTTAATTATGTACCTCGACTGTAGGAAGCGAGAAAGCCTAACCCCGGGGCTGGGCTCAGGCAGCGACAGACCCCGCGGCGGCGGCGGCGGCAGCGAGCGCGCGGTGCGGCCTGGGCCTCGGCGCGCGCCGTAGCAGCAGCCGGCCCGGGAGGCGGGGCTCCGAGCTGGCCCCGCCCCCTTCCCGGCCACGGCGTGGGGCTGCGAACGGTTTGTCCCAGTGGCTTCTTACCTCCTCCCCGGTGGCTCGTGATCATGGGCCAGGAGCCGCGCACGCTGCCGCCCTCCCCCAACTGGTACTGCGCCCGCTGCAGCGATGCGGTCCCCGGGGGCCTCTTCGGGTTCGCGGCGCGGACCTCCGTCTTCCTTGTCCGCGTGGGCCCGGGCGCAGGCGCGATCCCTGGGACGCCCCCATTTCGAGGTAACTCTCTGCCCCTGCCCCCACCTTTCCTGCACGTCTAGCGTTCCCTGGAGGCGCCGAGTATGCGCCTTCAGCCACCCCCTTCTACAGAAGGGGAAACTGAGGCCCCGGCAGGGAGAAGCGTCTGCTCACAGCCCCTAAACGGAGTCGCGTCCCGATCTCCAAGACTGAGCTACACTGCGCTGTGGATGAGCGGTCCCGCCTCCCGGCGCCCTCACGAGGGACTGCTCGCTTCCCCAGGAAGTTATCTCTGTCCAGACCCAGGAATTTTTAACATCTATGGCCTCCCCCGTCCCCGACCCATTGCACGTGGATCCCTTAGGAGCCTTCTTGGGGTTGGGGTTGCCTTCAGCTCCAGGCCCTAAGCAAGATCCTACAAATATGATACTCATTTCTGTGAGATGAACGCATGGAGCCAGGTGCTGTTAGGCTCCAAACTAGGTCTTGACTATACCTTGGGATATGGCATGCCAGCTATTCTACTCCAAACGATCTCTGGCCAGATCTAAGTAAGAATCCCATTTTTTTAAAATGATTTTTTTATTATTTTATTTTTAAATCCTCACCCAAGGACATTTTTTCCATTGATTTTTTAGGGAGAGTGGAAGGGAGAGAGAGAGAGAGAGAAACACCGATGTGAGAGAGATACATTGATTGGTTGCCTCCCACATGCCCCTGACCAAGGCCAGGAGCCTGCAACCAAGGTGCGTGCCCTTGACCAGAATCAAACCCAGGACCCTCCAATCCACAGGCCAACGCTCTATCCACTGAGCCAAACCAGCTAGGGCTCCCATTCTTCATTTGGGCTGCTCCTCGGCCTGTGAACTAGGCACATCAGGGAATATCAACAGCCTTTTACAGTTGAGAGGACTGAGGCCCCAGGAAATAAAATGACTTGTCTAAAGTCACGTGACAGAGCCAGTACCCCCGCACTTGGGAGTTTTTGACTGTGAGTCCCCGGATATTTTTGTTATGTCATGGAACAGGTGCGATCCCACTCAGCATCTAACAACAGCCTGATTCAGCCAGAAATCTTAGGTAGCCCTTTAACCCGGAGTCTGGTTTTGCTTGAAGTCATAGGGGAGCTGGTGGGACACACCGAGAGAGTCTCCGGCTTCACGTTTTCTCATCATCCGGGTCAATACAACCTTTGTGCCACCAGCTCTGATGATGGGACTTTGAAAATCTGGGACGTGGAGACAAAAGCAGTTGTGGCAGAACATGCACTCCATCAGGTACCACGGCTTACTGGTTTCTCAGACTGTCACGTATCTGTGCCAAGCGTTCTTTTGTTTCAAGTATAGTTTTGCTAGCTCGTTTGTGCAAGTTAACTTTTACAGTTGTATTCATAAAGTAAATAAGGAGCTCTGTGTTGTAAGAGACATTTTTGGAAGGCAAGACTTACAAACCGAAGGTCAGCAAACTACAATGCAGCCTATATTTGCAAATTGTTTTACTGTAATGCAGCCAGTCGTTCATTTAAGGATTGTTCACAGCTTCAGTATTGGCTGCCTGCATGCTACATTCGCAGAGTGGAATAGTTGCGTCAGAGAAAATGTGGCCCACAAAATCTAAAGTATTTACTGTCTGCTTAGGCTGCTGATATAAACTATAAGTCAGTAAATGAAACTTGATTTACCTGTCTTTTGAGAGAATGTTGGAAAGGAACACAGTTAACTTACTTAGTAACTCAGTAAGAACTCTGCATTAAGCTGTTAAAGAAATTATTTCAAATGGTTCTTTGATCCTCAATAGCCTAAATTCTCCTACCATTTGGTTAGCATAGTCTTGCTACACAAGTGGTATTTATTAGGTACCTATAGTATTTATTAGGTACCTATAATGTGCCTCATACTGGTTAAAAACTAAGTGAAAATTCAGCATTGACAAGTGAGAAGCAAATATATTTGTTTTGTTTTAAAGCATACAATATCAGCATTGCATTGGTCTCCTCGGGTAAAGGACCTAATAGTATCTGGAGATGAAAAAGGAGTGGTTTTCTGTTACTGGCTTAACAGAAATGACAGCCAGCACCTCTTTGTAGAGCCCAGGACCATTTTCTGCCTTACTTGCTCACCTCATCATGAAGACTTAGTAGCCATTGGGTAAGTAGTGTTCTATCTGTATTGATCATTTATCTGTGCTTATGCTCATTTATTGCATTTGCTTTCCCCTCTCCTGTCCCTTTACTCCTCAAAGGAAACCATTTATAGGTGTTAACCACTTCCCCTGACCCCTTGGCGTCCTTTAGTCCTGTGACCTCCAGGTCCTACAATCTCTTCCACTCTCTGTTGTTAATTCCTCGGTTTCTAGGATAGCTTCCTTCCCTCATTCTTCACATCTTCACTTTTTTCTCTGTCTTTACTTGCCCTTGGATGTAACATTTACTCCCAGAGAATCAAATGGCTCAGCTCTGTCTCTCTGGTTCTCAGCTCTCCCTCTAGGTTGGGAAAGTGACCTGGCATTTGGGATCTGTCTCCTTATTGGTCACCAAGGTGGTTTCACACGAGCTGCCTGAGTGGGCTTCCCCTTCCCTCACCTCTCTATTTACTTCTCTCCCAAAGATGTCCATTCACTCTGATTTGAAGACTGGATAAGCACTAGAAAGTCTGGCTGGAGAGGATTCAGGAGGCGGGGGAGGGGCATATAAGGTAGTAAAGTATACATGGAGACACGTTGCCACAGTTTGTTTCCCAAAAATGTGCACAGACATGAAGCCAAGAGGTATCCGGGGGTCGAGGGAGTATTAGACAGAAGATAGAAAGGGCGTATTTTTATGCCGATGAAAACGAGGCAGAAGAGGGAGAGCTTGTTGCAGGGGTGAACCGTGATAAGACGTAGCCATTGGTAAGTACTGTTGTATCTGTATTGGTCACAAGTAGAAAGAGCAGCGGAGACCATGGAAATAGTGCGGGTAGGTTTGTAGATCTGTTGAAAGGGGCGGGTGCTTCATTCTGATGGCTTCTGATTTTCTCAGTGAGGCGTAAGTCAGAGAGGAGATGGAGTCAAGTTCACGGTGGGGATGGGACTGGATGCAGGAAGAAGGTATGAAAAGTCATCTCAGAGAATAGGAAGTCCCTGTTGAGTGCCAAGCTAAGGATCATGGTCATGACTTTAAACTATTCACACTGGTTAAGAAAGAAGATGGTTGTATTCAACCAGGT